ACTCGGTTTTCTGAGTTTGCCTTAGCTAAAACAAGATTAATTTAATATATGCGCACAAGTCAACCGACATGAAAATTGCATAATTATTTACTTGATGACGAAACTATATTTCATCTGAATAATGTGCAAGAAAGACATGGAATTTTGTTTATGAAATGCAAAGAAAAGGGACTAGCTCATGGGGTTCATTTCTAGGTGATGGAATTCAATGATTTGTAGGCATTTATGAATAATTATGTACGAGATGAAGCAACCGCGAAATCCATGGTCAGATGGTCCTGAGCATATTACTTAGTGCGCTATTCCACCGGGAACAAATTTCACTTATGAAGTGAATTTAACTGAAGATGGAGGAACCATTTGGTGGCATGCCGACAATGAGTGGACAAGATATGCTGTGCATGGTGCTATTGTCGTTCTACCATGTGAAGGTTCAAGTTTCCCATTCCCTACACCAGACGGAGAACATATAATCCTGCTCGGTATGTGCTTTAAAGATTTCATATGAGACTCTTTTGGACACAAATCTAGAGGCTAGGGATATGAAGTGGATCAGAACTTAACAAAATAGAATTCAGATATAGAAAAAACATGGATTTCTGAGATTCATGTAATACTACAAACTTGTCCATCTTAGTCCATCTCAATCACTTAAGATTTCGGCTACCAATCCTTTGCTCGACTTTTATTTTTTGTCCATAAGATGGACTACTCGCCCACTATATCAAAGCATACCTTTTCCTAAAAGCATATAAAGTAACTAACAATTGAGTGTCGTTATCTCTTTGAAATCCTTACAAAAGTTTATAGTATAGTGAAGATTAAATTCCCTTACTTGAATATTGAGATTATGTCACTGTTTCATTTGGAGATTCTGGTTTAATGGTTAGAACTTTCTACAATGGCACTCCTTCTATTTTCCAATGCATCTTTCCCGCCCAAAGGAAGATGAGGAAAAAAAAAACTTATGCAAAAGTGAAAAAAGTGACTATGCATTGGCGTTTGAATGGTAAAAGCAGATGCTAAAGTAATTTAATTTCTCATTTTCCTCTCATTATTTGCAGGTTCTTGGTATAACGAAGAACTTCTCTAAATAAAGCCTTAGAGATGGCATTGTCGATAGGCAGTCGTGATATACCTCTTGCAACTGGTTACATGATCAACGGACAATTTGGAGATTTTGTTCCATGCTCGAATGGTACATTTAATTTGTGGTCTTAAGTATCTTCTTTTTTATCCTTTTTTGTTTGGACATTGTGAGGACGAGGATAGGAATGCAGACCATGAGGCAAAGGCAACTTCCTTGAAATGTCTACACTTTTTGAGTTATTGTGGATATATGATTTTCTTTCCCAAGAATATACTGCAACCCATAAACTAATACTTTTGGCACTCCTTAACTGGAGTAAATCTAACTTGCATCCCGATTACATAGACGTGTATGAGTAAGCATTAAATTGTCTACATTAAAGGCATTAGGGTTTTTCCACATTCCGTCGATTTGTACAATGTTCTAATATATTGTTTTTTCATGCTATCAATTTGACAGAAACAACGCCTCACTTGTTTGTTGATTATGGCAAGACCTGGCAAGACCTATCTCCTTCGTATAGTCAGTGCGGTGGTCAGGGCAGAAATGTTCCTCACTATCGCTAATCACAACATGACGCTAGTTGGAATGGACGGAGCATACACAAAACCAATAGTCGCTTCATATATAATGATAGAACCTGGACAAACAATGGACATGTTAGTTACCGCAAATCAATCTTCGGGAAGGTATTACATGGCAGCTGAACGGTTTTCAAGTGAAGACATGACTGTCACTGATTTTTCCCACGTTGTTGCTACTGCGATAATCCATTATAAAGGGAACTACAGTCTAACAACACCACCGAGTTACCCAAATGATACCCTACCATTTTATTATGACTATAGTGCTGCAGCGAGTTTCACACAACAACTGAGAAGTTTAGCAACTGAAGAACATCCCATAGACGTCCCTCACGACGTGACGACAAGGATGTTCATCACAGCTACCATGAACTTCGTGTCTTGCCCTGATGATTCGTGTTATATGGGTGATACCAAGATGTCAGCAACTCTGAATAACATAAGTTGGCGGGACCCATCTGTAGATGTGCTACAAGCTTATTACAGGTTCATCTCTTATCCGCTTAGTTTGATATTTTCTTCCTAGACTTTTTATCACAATATGCTCTAAACGTATTTTGGGATAAGAATAGTAGGAGTGTCGTAATTTTTGTGCAGTACTTATTTGAGTGCCATAAAATATTTTTCTGCTTACTTAAGTGCTACAAATTTGAAAAATCGATCACTGAAGTACCATTGGCGATTTGCCTCGCCGGAAAGTTCGATGTGGATGCCAATCTTCATATGTGGCACCATTGGCGCCGAAGTGGACAATTTTTGTAATTTTTTTCGCTCACTTAAGTGCCATAAATTTGAAAAATCGATCACTTAACTGTTACAAATTTTAAAAAAATCAATCACTTAAGTGCTATCAACAATTTGTCTAGCCAGAAAATTTGCCACCGACCTTGCCCAAATTTGGTGCAGGCCTTTGCGCCCTCACCCGCAGCTAGCAAGGCCATTGCGGCCTCGCCGGTCAAGGGTGAGGCCTTTGTGGTCGGCACACAGAAAAAAAAATATAAAAATAAAAATTTTTAATAGAAAACAAAAAATTCACATAGGACGATTTGCCGGAAGTGATACGCAAATGATCGAATTTACTCCGATGTGCCACTTAAAAGAGCGAAAAAAGAGTTATGGCATTCAAGTGACCAACGTATAAATGTTATGGTACTTATAATGTACTTATCTCAACATCTCTGTTCACGTTAATGATACGTGATCATTATGAGTAACACATCTTTGCCATTGATATGTAGAAACATCAGTGGGGTATACACTGCAGACTTTCCCGATATTCCAGCAGTTATGTATAATTTCACGGGAGATGATTTGCCGACCAGTCTTGCGGAGGCTGCTATAGGAACAGCCGTAAAACTTCTGAATTACAATGAAACCATAGAGATAGTTTTCCAAGGGACTAATTTGTTGAATGCATCAGGAACTCATCCAATGCATATGCACGGATATAGCCTTTATGCCGTCGGGCTCGGCCTAGGAAATTTCAACAACGAGACCGATCCTCAAGCGTACAATCTGGTCGATCTGCCTAAAGTCAGTACATTTGGAGTTCCTAAAAGAGGATGGCTTGCAATTAGATTCAGGGCAACTAATCCAGGTACATCTCATTCTCTTTTCCTTCTTTTTTTATGTAAGTTTAATGTCTAACACCAGATTTTCAGTTTAACTAGAAACATTGAAACATTACCTGGGTGAGGTCAAATGTTAATTAATTTGTCTATATGATGGGGAAAAGAAGAAAATACACAAAAAACACATAATATACGTAAAGAGCTTTGGGAAAATAGCAAAAATCATTTTTTTCTCTCTTGGTATGTGGCAGGTGTATGGTATTGGCATTGTCATTTTGACAGACATATGACTTGGGGAATGGATACCACTTTTATAGTGAAAAATGGGGATACCGAAGAGACGAGTATGAGGCCACCTCCTTCGTATATGCCCCCTTGCATTGCCTCGAAGCACAAGTTATTTGGTGAAACTGATCAGAATTTGGAAAGTGACATATAATTGCCAAGATCAGGTAAAAATCACTTGGCCATTGGAAGTCATTGGGCACCAGGCAACAAGTCAATGTTCACGTGAATTTTCGCTTTCATCGGCGCCATGGAGTTGCGTTTAGATATCTCCCTTAGAACAATTGAAGTGAATAAATTACTGCGTTATGCATGTGGATCTTCCATGTACATAACTAGTTTTCGAATTGGATATTGTTCAGAAATTCCTTGATTGATTTAGATTATCTCAATTAGCCAAGCGGGTCTAATCAATTTATTCAATTAAAATGCGGAATAAGAGCCAAGCGTGACGGAGAACTAAAGATGGAAAACCTAACAGAGGAAGCCTGGTGTCCTAACTCGACTGTCTCTCTTGCTCTCTCCACTGAGAGATCTTGTTTTCTTCGTGCAGAACGAACGATTGTGAGCAAAACAGAAAAAGAAATCTGAGTTTTTATCTATAAATGCATGTAAATCGTCCCTCGGCATGCATTGGTTTGGTTAAGGATGTTACACCGATGACCATTTTTACCAAAAGGAAATAAAAAATGTACTTATATTTGAGAATTGCTGCATAATTAAAAGATTGCACGATTTAATTTTGTAGAAAACCCAATTTCATTAGATTGTCTAGAATTTTATAGGCAATTATGGAAAATAAATGTTTGTAAAAGTGTTGGAGAAAGGTTTTTTTTTTCTCAAAGCCCGTGATGAGCAATAGAGGTGTAAATACCCATTTTTACCACATGCGTAGCATATGATTTTTTTTTTTTTGGTCGTTCAAAACAAAAATTTCATTAACTCAAAGAAAGTCCGTTCACATCGCAAGATAATATATCCAACAAAGGTTTCGAGGGACAAAATAGCCAATTTGAAGGAAGTTCCTTCTTTCGTTGGGCTTTAGCCACCCAATCCACGAGCTTATTTGCATCTCTTTGGCATCGGGTTACGTTCATAAATTTCAGTTGTAAGTTTTGCTTTGCACTCATCAATCCAAGCTCATAGTGCCCATGGGCTCTGCTCTTCTTCCACAATACAGCCAACCAGCAAAGTACAATCTGATTGTACTTGAAGCTAAACTCTACAGAACTCCTCATGTTTGCTTCTCTCTTCGACAAAGCATAGACTGATCAACAAAGCTAGTGTTTTAGCCGCTTTGGTCGATTAAGCCAAGATGGAGCTTGCAAAGCCATCCACCAACACTGCTCTGTAATCTCCAATCACCCCTGCTACGGCTGCTTCCAGCAAGTTCTCCGATTTGGAGCAATTGATGTTGAGTACCAGAGATCCTCTCTCTGGCGACTGCCATGAAGAAGGTTAGCTTTTCCATTTCTTAATTGTACTTTCCGGCCTTGGATTCCATCTCAAAAAACTGGCTTGCTCTGTAATTGCAAGTTCCAACATTTTGCTCGGGTTCGGCCAACTGGAGCTAAAAACAAACCCATTTCGTGCCCTCCAAATTGACCACAGGATGCTGGTGATTTCCTTGTGCGAGACCTGGTATGTGTTAGCTTCAAAGCATTTCAATAACCATTTGTCCAGCCGAGTGATGGGTATGTCTAAAGATTGCAACTTGATTTTTTCGTCAGCCCCTATCGAAACTATCCAGGGGCAAAGCAAGAGCGTGTGCTCAATTGTCTCCAGCACTTGGTGGCATAGAGGGCATAAGGGGTCTGGTAAGATCTTCTTCCTATAGGGTTTTCTCTAGTGGGTAGGGCATTTTGGCAAGCTCTCCAATGGAAGATGCGAATTTTAGGATGAGTGTTAGTTTCCATCCAAATTCACGTTCAGTGAATGACGTTTGGTCATGTCCAGCAACCATCCAGTAGCGATCAAGGCATTCAAGACCAAGACACGATCATTTTACAACAAACTAGCATGAAATCGATGTAATGTTTTCCTACAAAAGCATACGAGTTAGTGTGATCAAGATGAGAGCCAATTTGCATCAAATCATCATTAAATTGAGGTGGCGAAAGCACGAATAGCAGTCATGAATAAAAATCCAGCAAGTTTCGAGGCACAGCAATATGGTTACTTTGTTGAAAAATTATCACCGATTCAATATAACATTCTCATAAATCGTCGCCATACATGTTCGTATGATAAAAGTGGCGTCACAACAAGTCCAAATTGAATACCAATTAGTTAAGCCAGCAAGTCTAAATATCATTCCAGCATAATCAAACATGGCCATGGGCCTATTTCTTCAAAATGACATGTATTCTTCACACCCAATCGTTGCCCACTCATTGTATGAAAAGTACATGCAAGCATAACCAAATTAAGACCAAATTGGAGCTAAATTGACGCCAAAACAGTCACGACCAGCAAGGTACAAAGTTAATTCCAGAAGGTTCAAGTTCAGTAATGACCCTATTTAACAAGAATTATATGTATATCAATTGTTATGGGTGTCCACACTCATGTATATGCTCATAAAGCTTTAATGACAAACAACTAAAACCAAAACAGCCTTGGTTTCATGCAGAACCAAATCTTACCAGCCTGAGCGAGCAATATTGAAATGTTTTTGAAAGCGTAAAGTCAATACACTAATGAGGAGGCTTCTCTTATTAACACAATCAACCATGATTCCTAAAGTACATGTAAGCTCAAGCAACTCTAGGCAATCATCCTAAAGTACTTTATACAAAATGCAGAAGACAGGATCTCCCGGAATTCACTATCAGGATATATATATATATATTTACAGCAATGTGATCTGCACTCCAATGTATTAGTCCACAGGATCAGTTTATGCCTCATGAACGCACCAGCGACCATCAACAAGTATTTACAATTCAGCACATCCACATTTTTTAGCTAATTTCACAGAGTCAATCTTGTCGCCTTAGAACACCAGAAGGGGATCAAGACTGAGACCTTCGGGAATGGACTCAAATGTGAATATCAATTACATTTACTTAACCAATACAACTGATACGGTGAATCAATCAAGCAGACAGGATGATCACAATCAGATTCGAAGTCATGTCCATACTTAATACGACTCGGGCATTTCACCAAACACTTAATCAGCATTCCATCAAAAGGCACAATATAACAATGAGATAACAAGAATCACAACCCAATCAGTACAGATCATCAATCTTGAATCGAAGTCATTAACATAGTCTCGATCGCGAACAATTTTCACGCTAGCAACAACAAAGCCCTTGGATTCTATTTTACACGTGTACCGCTTAAAACAGAACAGAGGGCTTTCACCTTAGCTAGGAGCGATCATCGGTCACGGTCGGTTGTTCGACTAGCCAAAGGAGGCCCTGGATGCGTTGGCAACGATGATTGAAGCCAGTGAAGGAGAATCGAACGGGGTGGAGCACTTAGAGCACACTGATCGGATAACAGAGCAGAACTGAGAAAGTCCCATTCAATGAGATCTTTGACAATCCGAAGAGACCAGACATCAGTGAAAATATTAAAACAAAATTACAAAAGAATCGAAGGTAAAGCTCGGCAAAGAGGGAATATAGATCCTGAGACTGGAGTGTTGAGCTCCTGAGCAGATGGCGTCATCAGAATCAGAGATGGTTGAGGCATACGCTGGTGACACAAGCAAGAACATTTGAGAAATCAATACTACTGATTGAATTGCGCATGGAAATCAGAGAAGAAGAGGTGATTTAGCTTAGGGGTGTCTAGACCTGTCAAATGGGTGGGTCGGGTCGGGTTTGGATCGAGTCGGGTCATAAATGGTCCGACCCAAATTGACCCATTAACCCATTTATGACCCATTTATGCGTAATGCAATTTTCTTGACTCATACCCGACCCGACCAATACCCAATCCATATCCGATCAGACCCATATTGCTAAAACACTACCATATTTAATTAAATCTAGGAAAATTCATAGCCAAACTGAGATGAGAGTGCGAAATGAGTGAGCGCAATGTTGAATAAGGGCAAGAGAAATGAGTTGAGTTTAAATCAATTGTAAACTCATTTATGACCCATTTACGACCCATTTATGACCCATTTAATACTAATATTAGACTTCTACCCATTTATGACCTATTTACTAAATATAACTAACCCATTTACTAATATATTGGTTAAAATATGGGTTTATGACCCATTTTGACAGGTATAGGGGTGTCAATGGGTCGGGTCGGATCGGGTTTTCATGATACCCGACCCGACCCGAATATTAAACATGTGTGTTCGACCCGACCCGAGACAAGACCCGAACAAGATAAAGCCATACGATCGGGCTGGGTCGGGTCGGGTCGGGTCAGGTCGGGCCATGCCGGGTTTTGTGTTTTAAACAATGAATTCAGAGATAGAGATAGAGAGAGAGACGCGATTGTTGCGGATCCCGAATTCATCATCTTCCTCGCAGAAAGGCTAGGGCTTTCTCCCACACACCACTATCCTCGTCTCGTTCATGGAGTGCCCTCGTTGATTCGCCACGGTCACCGACTGTGAAGTTCCCATTGAACCAGGTCCACCCACTTCTCTCTCTCTAATCTCTCTCTGGGTATCGTTGCTGAAGTTCCACTCCTTGAGCTTCCGCGGCGTCTACATCGTTTGGAAGAGGGTCTGTTTCCGTTTCTCCCCTCGGCGGGACCACGAACCCAACGCCGACGCCGTAGATGCCACCTTCGCCAAGCCGGGGCTGCTGCTTTTGGGTGCCGTTCCTCTGCTCCTCCTCCTCCAATGAAGAGGACCTGCCACCATAGCCCCGCCCCCTCCTTTGCCACCGTAAGCCCTGCTCGTGTTCCCCCGCCGCTGCGGCCGCTCCCCTGCACCGCGGCGCCACCGGGACCTGTCATGTCGACGGCCTTGGTGCGGTTGCCGTCGGACTCGATCAGAAACTCGACGGTCTCGCCCTTGGCGAGGCTGCGGAAGCGCTCGAACCGGATGGAGGACAAAAATAACAGAACGAGAGAGATGTGGAAGAGGGATCTTTTAGGGTTTCATTCTTTGGGTTATTGTTTGGGTTGGCTTATTGTTTGAGTCGTGTTTGGGTACCCAAGCCCAATAGATCCAAACAATACCCAATTCCTTTTATTGTTACCCAAACAAGCTGAGGCCCAACCCGACCCAATACGAAAATTTCGTGTTTGGGTCGGGTCGGGTCGGGTCGGTTCATGTTTGAGTGGGCTTTTTTGACACCCCTAGCTCCCATGCCATTGCAGTAATCGAAGAACTGAACGGGTGTAGGTGCGTTCGTCAGAACAGAGCCGAGAAACGTCGAATCCGCCAGAATGAAGAGAGGCTGAACAATCAGAACAGGTTGCTAGGGCAAGGGCAAGCGCAAATGAATTCTGATCTTGATTGGGCTAATGGATTGAGTTCGTGTGACCTGGGTCGGTGGGCCGCCCGAACCAAGCTAATTGGATCAGGCCCTTTCCATCGTGACCCAATTGGACCCTTCGACTATTTTCCTTTTCTTTCTCTTCTTCTTTTCTTCTTTTCTGTTTTCTTGTTTGTTATTATGTATATTTTTTTTACACAAAATACATTTGATATGTCCACAAAGATTGAGGTCTCAACAAGATGCGGGATCTTTCAAAGTGGGTCATGACTGAAAACCTGCATCATGTGTCGACCTTTAGATTTTTGGACAGAAGGTTAGCGGGTGAAGATTTTGGGCTAGAGTGATTAGTTGGTGATATTTTTTTTTATATTCACACATGAACCGGGCTTTGCCAGCGCCGGTCGCCGATCACCTCCTCTGGCGAGTCCAACGCCGAAACGGCGCCGATTTGGGTGTTTTTCATTAAGGCATTTTCACAAACACCTGATGGGCATGGTTCGGTGTTAAACGTTCTAGACACCGCCGGTTTGTGATCGTCTCCAGCGACCTTCCGGTGAATATTTTGCCATTTCGATTGCACCATTGTTATGTCTATGTATTCTATTCTCAATCTAGCCTATTCGGAACACCGGCGGATGTTCGCCGGCCGGCGAAAAACCGACCAAAAAAACGAACCTAGCACTATTCTATACTAGCATTCCTGGCTTTCAGACCATCACACAGAACGTCCTAGCCATTTCTAGCGTTCATTCATCATTGAAAACATTCACAAGGAATCAGAGACGCTAACTTACTCAACCATAGATCATCGGTAATGCTCCAGCGAGTGGAAAATGCTCCGGCGAGATTCAACCAATGATGACCGATTTGGTTTTGTTGATTCAATGACACAAAATGCAAGCAAACAACAAAATATGCTCAGAAACGTACTATAAACCTCTAGAAAATCAAAATCTCCAAGAAAATCGCATGAATATGCACTTTAAGGTGAAAATGGTTTTCTGGAATTTAAAAAAAAAATGATCACGAGCGATGTTTACCTTCTTCGTTTGATGATCAGGATAAATTGTCAAACTGATCCTCGTCTATTGAGTTGCTCCTTGCCACTTGAACTTTCACCTGGTGGTCTTGGTCTCGCCGGAAGAGCTCCGAGTGCGCCGGATGAGCTTGATTTTCAGAGGTTCACGGTCAGCTTCCGTTCTGGTTTGCCTAAGGAGGAGATCCTCCCTAGACGGTCAATTTGCCTGCGCCATTCAATCGACCAGCGCCGATCACTTGACCTGGGGATCTCCACTCCTCTCTCTCTCTCTAGATTTTAGGCTTTTTCCTCTCTGGTTCTCTCTCTCTCTCTTCGGCAATTCGTCGAGCATCTTCTTTGCAATCTTCCAGTTTTTTTTAGTTTTTCCTTGATCAAAAATCACGCCCAAAGATCGTTAGAATCGATTTCTGATCGGTTATAACTGATATTCGACAACAGCCGGAGATTCTCTGGCTGTCGTTCAGGTCAAACACGTGTTTATTTGACCAGAAATGATCGACTAAGCCATGGGCTTGAAATGATTTTTCTGGGTTTTTGCATGTTCTGGGACGAACCGGGTAGGGAAGATGAACAACCCGGGTCGGGTCGGGTTGACCCGATCGACCTGGCAGACCCGGGTTGATCTAAATTCGCAAATTAAACTCAATTTTGACCCAATTTTCAAAATTAAACCCCAAAATTGAATTCCCCATCATATTCCGAACCAAAATATATGATTTTCTCTAATTTTTGTTATAATTGTGTCCAAGATTTTCACATTTTTGTATTCGGGTTAATAGGGTTTTGTTTAATTTGATGTCCTAATGACCTGATTAGGCAAAATTGATGCCAAAATTGAATTACCCACATCTGATTAACCCTAGAAATGATGGTCTCATGTTTCGACAATTTCATATTGGGCACGATTCCCAATTTGGGTTCAAAATTCTTAATTTTCAATTGAATTTTGGGGATTTTTTTATGTCAAATTGTGCAATTGGACCGACCATTATGTAATTCAAGGTCCTGGAATCATTTGTTGTGAAGACACTATGACTTAAAAATGACTAGAAAAAATTTAATTGCATTTTTGGTTCAATTCAAGTTTAATTTTGCCCAATTCTTAAAAAAACACATACCCGATTGAGATTTTTCAAAATTGATGATGTATTCATGAAATTGGATTTAAAATAAGACTAATGAATATTTTAATGGAATTTTTTGATTCCATTTACTATTTTTCTTGATTTTCTCACCTATTTTGACTAAAAGAAATTAAGGAAAAATGCAGGAAAATGCTAAAAAAATTATTTTTTGGTTTAGAAATAGGTTTCTAGGCTTGGCCAAGATTCCTAGTCCTAATTTTAAGATTTTCGAAAATATGAAAAAAAATGAGCTAAAAATTAAGTGTCAACAGCTGCCCCTCTTTGAGATTGAGCTCATTAAAGGTTGATCTCAAAGACAAGGTGACACCTAAATTTTTAGTCGACTCACTGAATAAGATAAGATGAAAATTTCATAACAACTGATTAGGGATCTTGCTTTTGAAATTCGTGATTTAATCCAACGGTTCTCTTTTCAGAACATATTTTGAAAGGTTCTTAATGATTGAGGGAGAGAAGCTTACCTGTTTGTGAGCTGTCTCTTTATTGCTTATCCAAGGGCATGAATTGATAGTGATGATGATTATGATGGTTATTCGGATTTCGTGGTTTAAGGACGAATCCACGAACCATGAACACCTGAGGCTCTTCGCCTGAGGATTTGGAAATTTGCCTAATGGTTCCTCACCAGTAGGACTTTGAATTTGCCTAGGGGCTCCTCGCCTAAGGATTTGGAAATTTGCCTAATGGTTCCTCACCAGTAGGACTTTGAATTTGCCTAGGGGCTCATCGCTTGTAGGACTTTGGATTTGCCTAGTGGTTCCTCACTAGTAGGACTTGAATTTGCCTAGGGGCTTCTCGCCTTAGGACTTTGAATTTGCCTAGTGGTTCCTCACCAGTAGGACTTTGAATTTGCCTAGGGGCTCCTCACCTGTAGGACTTGAATTTTTCTAGGGGCTCATCGCATGTAGGACTTTGAATTTGCCTAGTGTTTCCTCACCAGTAGGACTTTGAATTTGCCTAGGAGCTCCTCTCCTGTAGGACTTTGGATTTGCCTAGTGTTTCCTCATCAGTAGGACTTGAATTTGCCTAGGGGCTCCTCGCCTGTAGGACTTGAATTTGCCTAGGGGCTCCACGCCTGTAGGACTTTAAATTTGCTTAAGGGCTCCTCGCCTGTAGGACTTTGAATTTACCTAGTGGTTCCTCACCAGTAGGACTTGAATTTGCCTAGTGGTTTCTCAC